AATACATATATTGATACATGATTTCACCGCGATACGAGGATACGGTGGGGAAGCCAATAACCGATGAATAACCGAACGTAAAGGCACAAACGCATGAAACGAGCGGCGAACGACCGAATAAACTAAACGTAAAGAGCACACAGGTACGTGCGGAACCACTGCACGTTATTATCTTCCACGTCGGTTCCCTCGCAAACTCCCCCCACACACAACTGAATTTCCTCCTTCTTCTCTCTTTTATTCTCTAACTAACTAACTCGCTCTCTCTCTCTCTCTCTCTGGCACGCGCTTTCTTGCTTGCTTTCTTTCTTTCCTTCTTTCTTTCTCTCGCTCTCTATCTCCCGCTCCTTCCCTCTCTTTATCGCTCTCGCTCTCTCACGCGCCCTATCTATCTATCTATCTATCTATCTATCTATATATATATATATATATATATATCTTTCTATATCCTTTTCTCTTTCGTTGCCGGACGAAAGCACGCAATACACCAAGAAGAGTTCCTGCACTCTGTGAAAACGGGATTAACACTCCGTGCCGTGGCCGCGAGTGCGGAATTGTTATGCCGCGGTGGGCGAACGGATACCCGTAGGAAGCACTGGCGTACGACCCGGAAGCCGCGTGAGCCTTGGCACGCGCACACACACTCTAGGGACGGGCCACGATTCGACTGGGCGCTGGCGCCGATGTGAAGAACGTAGCGGACCAACTGGACGACGACGTGGACGACGAGGCCAAAGTCGGCGGTGGCGGCGGCGACGACGACGGCGGCACCAGCGGGTTCTCGTATCTGCAAAGTGGCCGCCGTTTTCGAGTTGCCGGATACCACATCGTAGGCGGGCGCACCCGCTATTACAATCCGACCTCGCCTCGGGCACACATCATGCCGCTGCCGTATCTCCTCCCGCACCTCCTGGTGCCGCTGCTCTAGCTCTCGACGATGATGGTGCTCGCGAAGCGACTCAGAGCGCATCGGGGGCCCTGCGGGTGCGAGCCTCGGGCAGTGGCGCGAGCCGGCCCCGGCCACACCGGGCCCACATTTCCACCCCGGTTGGCCTCGCTTTTGTCCCGGCCTTCCGCGCCTCCTCCACCTCCTCCACCGCGACGGGGACGACGCTCGGTAAACGCACGCACACACAGAGAGGGACACTTAGGCTTGCTTGCGCGGTTCGGAGGAGCCCGAGCTTCGCTCCTGCTCACTGCACTACACTACTCGGAGTGACGTCACCATGGCGGGAGCGTAGCCGCGTAGCCCGTAGCCAAGCTCCCGCCGGCCAGCCCCAGCGGTCGCGCCTCCTGGTGGGGGAAGTTCAGGCTTCGACTTGGGAACGCGTCTATCGCCTCTCGGATGCCGCCCCTCGCGCGGCCACCCCACTACCGTCCCCACCGCCGCCGTCATCGCCGCCGTCGCCGCAGCAGCCGCCACCGCCGCCGCCTCCGTCGCCGCTCTCGCTGCCGCCGCAAGAACCGCCCGACCGATTGTCCCTCTCCTTCCCCGCCGCTTCGACAGAACCGACGTGCCCGTACCGCCGCCAATACCACCATCGTCTCTCGCTACGTCTTGCTGTCACATCAGGACCGTCGACGCTAGCACGGGGCGCCCTGTAACAACAAATTCGTCCGGCATTTTCAAGCGGAATTTTCGTTCCTTCCTCCCTGGTCATCTTTATTTTCAATGCTAACCAACACACGAGCTTGAATATTTACTCAAACTGCACCATCTATTCTCCCAGAGTGCAGTCGAGCCCTGTCGAAACCGCTTGAATGTCGCAGCCGAACCTCCAACAAAGCTGCTTTTAGCGTCCTTCTGTAATGATCGGGCGTCCTCTTGAGCTCGGGCACGATTGAAATTCATTAAAATTGGGCGATTATTCCAGAGCCTATTTCATACTCTGGCTCCCTCTTCACAAAGTACACCACAAAATCATGTTTCGATAGATGAAATTCTTTTTAAATTTGCCCACAGATTCTTTAGTTTTTGTTTACTGTAAAACAATAGATACTTCGAATTAAGCCCTGAGAATGCAAAGTATAAAAATATAGGAGCCCTTGACAATTTAAATACCTCGGCAAAAGCAAAATACTGCGTAAATTCTGTAATCACAGTTGCGGCCCTGCATCATCCCGAGTTGCTCTCCTTGCCCGATTACGATGTCTGTACAAACAAGAAAGACAGACATACATATACCGAGAGTGTGAGAGCGAGAGCGGGAGAGAGAGAGAGAGAGAGAGAGAACGTGAGATATTTGATTTGATTAGATTCATTTATTTATACGTACGCGATTCTTCTCCTCGTACGATTGTGTCTTACTCTCTCGGTTTCTCTCTCCTCCCTCACGATCCCACTACATCCCCTTTACCGACGTTCCTATTATTGCAAGGATACTAGTAGAATTTGTAAAACATGTAAATGTACAAATGATAATTAAAAATAACTCGTCTCTACGAGAAAATATTATTATAAACAAAATAACCGGATGCACTTTACTTTGATGTTTTAAAGTTTTGCATTGATATAGGAGATGTGGATGACGATATTAATTGATATATCGTGCTTTCAAGGGTTAAAGAAAAGGCAGATGATGTAAAATAGATGTCGAGAGACAAAAATTATAAAAGTAGATTATTAATGATGAACACGGGCTACGCTTAAAGGCTTTTTCTCCCGGGTGACCTCGTCTCTCATAATCATTCCCAATTTTTTCGTAAACACATAAAGTACACTTGAGTCATTTGATTAAAGAAACATGAATAAACATTCAAAATTTAATATTCTCGTTTGGAGATCGTGTTATTTGATTCGCATGAGACATAGAATTATCTTGAAAAAAGTTCCAGCTATCGAGCTATAAAAGCTATAAAAAATAAAATTGAATAAAGGCTCGGCAAAAATCTTGCAAATAGGAAATAGCATAGCGTCGTAGAGTGAGGGGCTGAGTAGGAGGGGGTGGGGTGGGGTTATAGCGAGAGAGAGAGAGAGAGAGAGAGAGTGAGAGAGAGCTAGAGAGGAGTAAAAATGCAAATTGAAAAATAAAGCCAATGGGCGAACTAGATGGCAAGTGAGAGAAACGATGTGAACAAAATAAACAAATTGAATGAAGCTAGAAGGAGCTCGAGGGGGCGAGTAAGATGGAAAATCGAAACTGCAGGAATAAAAGCAGAAAAAAAATATTAAAAATAAAAGGAGAAAAAGAGCGGCTCGCCGTGGTGGGATTGAGCGCGCGACGTGTTGGCATCACGGGACGAAGGGGATCGGGTGGCGGTTGGTTACGTGGCGGGAAGGGAGCCCGTGAGCCCGTGAAGGCGAATCCGCTTGGCGAGGGGCTGGTGGTGCGGGGAGATGAGGCGGCTGTGGGCGCGCGCACGCGCGCATATTATGCGCGAGCGACAGAGGGGAAGCGAGCGGTCGAGTGGATGACGGAGGGAGCGCGGATGAGCGAGTGACAAAATGAGGAAAAGGATGGAAAATGAGAATGGGAAGAGCTCTGCGTTCGTGCGGAGAAGCGAAATGCGAGGGGTCGCGGCGAAAGAGAGACAGCTGGCGAACGCTAGTAAGAAGGGGCGGGTGGGAGCAGTAACGATGGCGTGCTTGTTCTCGTGGTGGGAGCAGCCGGCGGTCGCGGCGAGTCGAAGCGGTGGAGTAGTCAGGGTGGGGGGTTGGGTTTGGTGGGGGTTTGTCGATAGTGGGGGACTGCGGCGTTCGGGGGGAGGGGGAAAATCAGGTAGGGATAACGGGTCGAACGAGCTAAAGCGAACACGAGCGAGAGCTCGAGAGCTCGGGGCCCCGACTCCCTAGCCGGCAACTGCCGAGCTTCCACGGATTTCTCTCCCCGCGCCCCTGGTCCGCCCGCCGACGTCTTGTTGCCTCACCCTCGCGCCTTTTTCCGCTGCGTGAGCCGCTCGCGCCGGCTCGGGCGCTTCGCCTCGAGGACTCGAATACCGCCGACTCAAGGAACGACTCAACTCCGTCCTTATGCGAACTCGCGCTTTGGATTCTCAAACGCACGCAAAAACATGGGTGTCGTCGTCGTGCGTGGCAGTTGCGGTGCATTCGTAATCGCTCGGATGCCGGGATGTCTCCACCCGGGACTGCGTGGGTGGTGCTCGCCACCGCCACCTTATGACCGGGAAGGGTTCATGACGATGCCCGAGGGGCCGTGATTTACCATAATCTCCCCGAATGCGTTTGGAGGGGTGAAAATGCTTGTGGCGGGGCTCCTGACGCATCTACACGTCGAAAATAAGTTTTGGCTGGCGTGGCCCACCGCTAATGCTCCACGTAGTTTCGGAGAGATTGCCGTGGCTGTGGCGGTGGCGGCGGTGGCGGCAGCAGTGGTTTCTTTACGTAAGGTAAACTGCTCTCGCGATCGGGGTGCGCCACGACGAGGAAAAGAGAAACATGGCCTTGCTGCTCTCGCCTTCGTAAAATAGGCCGCTCCCGAGCGCCGAGTAGACGCTGGTAATGAGAGTTCGCACGCTGGAGGCGATCTCGCGTCCTTGGTTGCTGTTTAACGGGCGAACAATCTTTGTGAGGGAGGCTTCGGATGGGCGACCGGCAACTATGGATTTGCGATTGCCGGTCTCTTTAAAAGTATGTTGTCACGCTTCAACTCGGCCGATCACGGATGACTGGTTAATTGAGTTTGAGGTGGGGTTAGGCGGTGGGTGTATACGGGGTGATCGACTCCATCGGGATCTCTAGGACACTGTAAAGGGTATAGATAACGAGGTCCCGAGCTGGTGAAGTACCCGAACTCGACACTGGGCTTGGCAAGAATTTAAAAGTTTTTTCGAGTCTCTCGGGCGTCCCGTGCGCTGCTCTCGATCTAAGTAGATAATAAGAGAGAGAGAGAGAGAGAGAGAGAGAGAGAGAAAAGTCCACTTTTAAACGATCGTTCATTTTGAATTTGTAGTTCAAAGTTAGTCGTGACATCTAACGTGAGGAAGGCTTAACGACGACGACCACTTTATCGACCGCACACGTGAGAGTAGTTACTACTGGTTACGAAATATTACTTATGATAGCTTCGATTTAATTTGATATAGTGTCTTTCGAGATGGGGTTAATATAAATTTTTAAGAATTCGTCAAGTTATTGTTGAGAGCATGGCGACAAAATCGGTTAATTCTAAAAATTCCGAAGAAGTTGAGGAACCGTCGATAGATTCTGTGGATCCGGAAGAGTGCAAATTAGCACGACGTTTGCGGATTCAAAGGCGCGCTGAAGCTTTGCAGAGGTGCGTGGTTCGTATAAAATGTACAAATGTATGGCAATGTTATTGAAAATGGTAAAATGTTGCAATGATACTGCTAATAATTTAGATTGGAAAACGATGATGGAGGAAGCGAAGAGAAAGAGAGTCTTACGGAAAAACAAATTTGCATCAGCGCGGAACTTTTGGAAAAATTGATTAACGAAGGGTATGAAGTGGTAAGCTGTGTTACTTGTTTTACAATCTTTATGAGAACACATATATAGATGTATGCACTCATCCCCTCCCCATCCACACCATAAAGCTCGGGATAATGAAATATGCGTTTTAATTAGATTACGAACGTCCAAGTGGCCAATGATGCGCGCGAATTAGAACGCCAGAAGCGAGAAAGTGCTCTTCAGGATCTTATTTCTAAGCACTTGAAAGAGAATAGGGAAGAAAGTGAAAGACAATGTGAAATCATTAATAAACAATGGCCACTGATTTTGGCGTTAAAAGATCCACTGGAAATTAATAATGCGATGGAATTGCAGGCGAAAAAATGTAAAGAAGTTTTAGATCTGAAAGACGCTTTTATTGCAGAACTGAAACAAGAGTTAGAACGAGCCGATAGAATTTATTTTGAAAATCAGAAACAGCAAAAAGATGATATCAAATTGTTGATGGAAAGAATTGAAAATCAGGTTAAAATAATTAGTTTATTCTGCCTATTATTTTGCTTTTTATCATACTCGCTCCTTATGATTTAAGCCGTGATTTTATCGTTTATTTAGATGCTTACGATGGAAAACGCTTACAATAGGGAATTGCAATTAATAGAGAAAGCGCTGGAGACTGAAAGGGAAACTATAGTGGAGAATTTTCAAAAAAAATGGGAGGATCTTTATCAAAAAGAGCAAGATGAAGATTACATGAGCGATGAAAAGTTGAAGGAAATTATGGAAGATTATGAAACAGAAATGGAAAAACTCATGACAGAACATGACGAGGATTATCGAGCGCAAAAGATCCTATTAAATAAAGAATGCCAACTTTTACAGCAAGAGGTGGAAAAGACAAAAGCCATGTGTTTGTTAAATGCTGAAAAGCTCTCATATAATTATACCGTAATGAAAAATCGCGAGGAAGAAAATGCCATAATAAAAAGTCAGCAGAAAAGAAAAATAAATAAGTTAGTGGGGATTTCGTAATGATTTCGCGAATGCATATAAAACCATAAATTTATCTGTTAACAGTATTAAACAGTCTTATTAATATCTCTTTTTTAGATTGCAGGTGCATCTCGATTCTCTTAAACAAAATTATAAAATCTTAGAAGCAAATACAAATATGGAAATAGAAAAATTATCGAATCAAATCATAAAGTACCGAAAAAATATTACAGAGCTTCTGGAGAAATCCAATCATTTTACGCGCATCAGTGAAAAACAGTATCTAGACATTTGGGATATGAATACTCAAACAGCAAATGAATTAGTTGATAAGGTAACTCTATTATTTTCTAATATAATTAAACGATTATATTTACGAAAATAATTTCTTTTCACATATAGATTTTAATGGCAGATAGGATTATTCACGAACGCACTTTAGGCATTTTGTGGGAGGCGCCAAAAAAGTCATTACCAAAGAAAGAAGATTTGCCGTCTTATCGTGAAGCAATGAACATCATTAAAATGCGTAACAAAAAAAAAAAAAAAAAAATTACTAATGTCAATACTAAGAATGTAATTATTAAAATGAGCGCTTTTTAGGTAAGCAAAAGGAGGTAGAATTAAATAAAATCTTTCAATATAAACGGGCAGATCAATCTTGTTCGGAAATTAAATTAGAAACACAAGTATTACATAACATTTTGAAACAAATATCAAACAGTTCTAAATATTTAATCGAACATAAACTCCAAGAAATAATATTAGACCGTTGCGAAGAAGATAAGACTATTATACAACTTGATAATATTTTTCAAGTACGTTTACTTATTCTTTCTTACTTATGCATGATTTTTATTAGTGATAATATTTCTTCTTAGGCTTTGTCAATTTCCACACCAGAAGAGATTAATATGCTATTAAACTTTTTCTTACCATATGCATATTGTTTAAAATGTTCTGAGATCCAGTCGACCAGCTCCGAAAGCTTAAGCGATATAACATATTCGATTTGCGAATGCCCGGTAGATGAAAAAGAAAAGAAGTTAATTGATACTGTCAAAGAGGTAATCGAGTCAGATATTAAGGACAACGAGGAATCAAATGAGATTAATACTATTCAGACCGATAGTTGTGGCTGTGAATCAAAAAGTGCAGAAGGTACCATTTGTAACCATTAAATAATACATAATGTGTCTCTTTAATTAATATAGTCATTATTCTTAAGAATCTGAAAGTAATACGAAAAAGGACGAGATACAATTCAAGTCAAAATTTACATGTGATAAAGGCCATGTACTTGAAATTCAGACTGCTGATGTTACACATGCAATCAAAGACATTGTAATAAAGTACAATGAAAATGAGCAAAAGAACAATATCTCTTTTGAAGATAAATTAGGCGAAAATAAAGTAACGATTTCACGAAATTTAACAGAAGAGGACGTGAAAAATTTTTGGTCACAATACCGCGATATTATTGACAAAGATAAAGAAAAATTATGGGAAACAATTTTGATGGCATTGAATAAATATCACGAGGTTTTACAAGAAGGGTATGAAATGTCTACGAAAATTGATAATTTGAAAAAACAAAATGCTGAATTAGAACGATTGTTGGAATCGCAGAAAACATGCGTTAGTTATTTAAAATTATTAACCCATGAGTATTATATTATAAATTCATATTTATTAATAATTTTAATTAATGTTTCAGCCGGAAACTGCATTACCATTTCTACCACTAAAGCCAATAAGAAATGTACCATATAAATTAAAAATGAAATAATGATATTTTCTTTTAAAAAATAACTTTATTAATCTTTTCTATAACCGTTTATTAACATCTCATTTAAAACACATTAACGAATATTTTCTGCACACGTGTGTATTATTAATTTTAATTACTTATTATAAGTAGAAATTTTTATATTTAAATTTTTCTAGCTTAGCTAAAAATGTTCACTTATTCGCTTAATATAAGTACAATACAATAATATATTGCAAAATAAGGTTAAAAATATTTAACTAAAAAATAAAAAACAATGTTTAATACATGATTTATAATGTTTTTGTGGATTGTAAGAATGAGGCTTTCTTACTGTTAATAAATTGTTGATGTGTACAATTCAATAAATTTTTGTGTATACATTCAATGTTTGTGTCAATTAAAAAAGTTTATGTTTCAGGCATATGTTGCATATCCACCTGAAATGAAATTGTTTGCTAATGGTTTTGTACTTGCATTTATCATTTTGTTACCTTTCTTCCAATATGGACTATATCGCTTCTTTTTACTACTCTTAATATTGTTCACTTTATCCGAATGCTTTTGTGATGATAAATGCTGAAAAGATAAAATTATTTTATTAAAATATACCCTCTACAGATTCGTTAAAATAAAAATACAATTTGAATTTGTATTCTTTTTTGTTTCGAAATAATAACTGATATAATTAATAAATACAAAAGAAAAATTATTTAAATTTACTTCCAATGAATTGAAAGAAATAACTCGTATTAATTGCCAATTATATTTTAGTACTATTTTCATAACACAATTTTAATTTAATCGTGAACAGAATTCTGTTAAAATCGTACCACGTTCAATTGCGAGTGAGAGTTGAAGAATTTATTGCATGAATTACATGAAAGTAAACCATTTTTCGGCATAGGTTGAGGTATACAATTTGATGGCATGTCGGATAGCTTGCTCCTTGAGATGATCTCTTTACCAGTCCAGTCACCTAAGCATCAATGTACGATCAACACTATCTATATATCACAATTGCTAAAGGCTTTATGTGATAATAAATCAGTTTGAGCACTACATCCATGCCACGACAAAAATATATATTTTGAACAAAGCGATTTGATTCAAAGTCAATTATTTAGATAATGCTTTGACGATGATAATTTAAAAGAAAAAAAAAACAACAGCAACAAAATATATCTTTATACATACCACGGTAATGCTGAATTAGCTTAAATAGGCAATAAATGTAATGATGAAAAAGAAAGCATCACGTAAATAAATAGAATAGTAGTTAGTCATGGCATCATGAAAAGCATAGATTACAGCATGCTTTGCTTTATTTTACATTTAAGAATAAATTCATCAGTAACAAAATAAATAAGATTTAACAAACATACGATTATTTCATAATATATATGAATACGTATTAAACACAAGTTTAATGTGTTAATTTATGCACAATTTTTTTGACACACTAAACATTATATGAAATTCAAAAACGCAATAAAAAAATTTACAAATTTACAATTACAATTTGTAATTAACAAATCATCAAAAAATAAATAATAAATAATAAATAATAAATCATTAGGCAATAAATAGTTTTAACCAATAACGTACAATCGATGTACAAAAACAAAAGTGAAATTGAAAAACAGATCGGTTGAGCACCAATTAAAGAATATATAAATGAAATACAAAAGTCAAGAGTAATACAAGGCATGCGAAAGTAAAAAGTATTAGGCAATAAATTAGTATAACAGCATTTTTTTTAATTAGCTTGTTTAAATGCATTGTGCGTTTATATCTAAAACTATAAGATGCTAAATTTTTAACTGTCCTATTTTTATTACCTTTCGACATTTTTTTCTTATGACGGTTTCCTGTCAAATAAGGTCAATCTGTTATTCCAATAAATGTTGAGCTTTATGTAAAAATAAACATTACTTGCCATTTAAGTGAGTTTGAAGTTGTTGAATAGAATTTAAATATACATTGCAAACATTACATTTTAAACCATTGGTTTCTTGATCTTTACTAAAAGCAACATTGGTTTCTTCCAACGTTGCAAGTATATTTTTGGACCTCATCTGTGAATATTATAAAGTTTCAATAAATATTATAAACTAAAATTTAATCGAAATAAGAGAAATTTATTAAAATACATAGTTACAATAATGTAATGAATATTTAATTACAATTTTATGGCCAACATAGGTTTGAACAAATATTAGTTTATTTTAATTATTTTATTTCATATTTTAGTTAATTCTTGATATTTTGATTGTATAATACTTTGAAATAAATGTTTATGACTATTAACATAAATGGATTAATTTTTCACTTGAATTTCTGAATGTATTTTGAATTTTCAAATTTTAATAAAGCGTATTACTTGTTTTGCGTGTCGAGCTCCTTGAAGGTGAGCATCCAGCACAATCTGACTGGTAAAGTCTAAATCGCAATCGCTACATCTTACTTGTGATCTTTTTGTAGCCAGATTTCCTATAATATTGTCAACTACGGCTTTAACTACTGGATCGTTCATTGAATGAGCTGTGCCTCCTTGAGTTGGGGCAGTCATTTTTGTCGATTTGTTGATAGATTCTAATAAAGTTTATGAAATAAATCATAAGAAAGAAATGGATTGCTATGTTTTTGTATCCGGGCATAAACGCATAATATATGAACTTGATGTGTACTCACTTTCAATGTCAATTTATAAGTTGTTTTATTCAATTGTACAAAACCAATAATGGCAGAACTGCAATCTGAAAGCAGAATAATAATACAGTTAAAATATTTTAAGTTTTAACTTTTTAGGTTTTTCTTTAACAACTACTGTTTATAAACAAAACAAACACAAATGCAGAAAAAGTGCAATTAACGAAGGATCCTAGCGGAGTTTAATCGCCGATAATTTTACAATGTAACGTGCGTTCGTTAAAAGGTTAACTTTGTAAAATTGCTTTTTCTAATTCTAAATCTTGTTCATGGACATAAAATTTTATTTAGCAAGGTACTCGCTTTTTAAATCTTCTATTCTTCTCTTCTTTAGTCTAGTATTTCTCAACTCAAACACCGTTTTAGATATAATTACGAATGTTTCATTAATTATGCAAAGCTATAAAAATCATAAGCTGAAACCTCGACATCGTTGATTCCTCTGTGCCTAAATAACTCGTAAATTGCTCAAGGCTCCGATCAGAAATAATTCGGAACTCTGTTCTTTACGCAGGAGTAGTCGGTGGTAGGAACGGATGGAACGCGGTACTGTAAATTGCCATGCAAGAATCGGTATTAGATTTTTGCAAAAAGGGACAGAGTGCCAAAAGTGAAACGGGAAACATTGCGAAACGAACCAAATTGATCGACGTTTTAATAATAAATTGGTATTGACGTAATTATAACCTTGCAGGATTTATTCGATTAATTAAAAAATTTCATTTATTTTATATGCGCTAGCCAACCATGCAATCGACAGGAAAATATTAAGGATCTATAAACAATCTCTAAATAATTCAAATAATTATTATTATTAAAATTATAATAGAAAATAATAATAATAATAATAATAATAATAATAATAATAATAATAATAATAATAATAACAACAACAACAACAACAACAACAACAACTACTACTACTACTACTACTAATACTACTACTACTACAATAATAACAATAACAATAATAATAAAAATAAAAGCATATGCAATGTAATGTATATTTTTATATGGAAAAATATCGATTATAATTATGTATTGGATATTAGTATTAATTTAGGGAATCCAAATTCGTCATCGCATTCATGCTTGAAATGCAAAACTGAACACAATCAATCATGTTGTATGCAACCAATGTTCAAATCATGTACAAAAAAATAACATTAAGGCAGAGGCAGGGGGGGGGGGAAGAATTGACTTGTATAAATGTACTTGTATAAATAAAAAATGGAATTTTTAATTACGTCATAAGGTACGATATCGTAAGATTTATTTACGCACACAATAATCATTCGTAAATACGTATAGAGGTGTTTATAAGTGGGCACGTGTGTCATGATTGATAGTAGTTGAAAATAATTTGAAATTTGGAATTGCAATATAATATTGGCGTGCCATTCGAAGTTCCGGGTGCGCCGTAAGAGCGTAATGTAGTAATTAAACTCGGCAGGATTAGTTTCTATAGGACACCGAAGGAGAATCATAAAAAAGAGCGCCGAGGCGAATAAAAGAGAAATGTAAAAGAACAATAGGAGGACGAAGGACTCGAAACGTTTTTTTCTTCTTTTTTTTCTATAGAGAGACGGAGAAAGTGAGTGTTCCGGAAGAGTAGCTCTCTTGCTGTTAAAAAATCGTTTTTAATTGCAGCGATGCCAAACAATCGATTTCTCAAGTTGAGAGTTAGAGGAAGGAGAGAGAAAAGGAGCGAAGACGAAGAAGGAGAAAAATAAGATGAAAAAGAAGAGAATTCAGAGGAAGAGGAATAAATGGAAAAAGTGGAAGAAGAGGAACAGGAATAAACGGAAAAAGTGGAAGAAGAGGAAGATGAAGAAGAAGAAGAAGAAGAAGAAGAAGAAGAAGAAGAGAAGATGAAGATGAAGATGTGGTAGTCGGTCAACGCGTAGTCGCGGTTGTGGCCAAGCTAACGTTGGTGTTGGTAGTGGTGGTGGAGGTGGAGGTGGTCGTGGTGGTGTTGGTGGTGCTGGTGGTAGTGGTAACGGCGGCGCCGACGTTGGTGGCGTTGGGGGCGTTGGAGGCAGCGACGGCGGTGGTGGCGGCGGCGGCAGTGTCAGTACCAGCCGAGTAGAAGCTCGCGTAGACGTTTGAGAAGGGGCCAATCGGCGCGCCGTCTCGTCGGCATCATCGCCTCTCGCTGCGGCGGCCAATTAAAATCGGGCACCCGCGCCGCCGACGGTGAGCGCGCGCCGCGCTGGCCGCATCTCCCCTACAGAGGTCTCGCGCTGCGCCGTCTGCCCGAGCGATATAGCAGCAGCCATCTTATATTTTGCCTTGGAGAAAAACAGAGTCAACAGAGGCTTTTTTCGCTCGGACGAAATGGCCCGTCGCCTTGGCGCGTGAGCGTGGAAGCCCCCGTGGCGTCGGCAGTCCTGCGCCCCATATGAGGCACCTGTTTTACCCCGAGCCTGGACCACTACATTAGCAAAGGTTAGTCTGTCGCAGCGCCAGTGAGCGCCCCCGAGCATCCCCAGCGCCCCGTTTTCCTTCGTCTTGGTCGTCCTCAGGGTCGAGCGCGCCGCCCCCAAATGCTCGTGTGCCCGTCACCTTTACCCTCGACTGTTACCATCGCTGTCGTACGTGCCGTTTGCCTTCCCATACTCCCCGCCAACCTCGTCCTTTTATTCCTACTGTTTCTCTTCCTCCTTCTCTTCGTCAACCTCATCGTCGACATTGTCGCCGTGATTGTTATTATCCTTGTCGTCGTTATCGTCTCGTAGTCGGTAATGTCGCCTTGGCCGTCGTAGCCACCGTTGCCGTAAACTTTTCTCCCTGTCGCTGTAGTCCTTGTCGTCGATGCCGTCGTTGTCACCGTCTTTGTCATCGTTCTTGTCGTACTTGTTGACGTTCATGCCCTCCCTGTTGTCCTTGACATTAACGACCTTGTCGTCGTCGTCGTCGTCGTCGTCGTCATCGTCGTCGTCGTCGTCGTCGACGTCGTCGTCGTCTTCGTCGCTGTCGCTCCCCCCCC